GACGTGGACATCCAAGGACACTTCAGCTTCTATCAAGTCACAGATACCTGTCGAGGGTGTAAAGAACACCATAGCTCACGCTACAAGAGCAAGGTGGGTTACTTATTTCTTGTAGTACGGGGGACTGCACAGTTTATGTGTCGCAAGGAGTTTGTAATCAACCTATAGTCGGCAGTGAGGTGCGGACTTTTGAGTCCACACGAGTACTTATGTCAGCCATCAGTGAATGAAATATGCTGACATAACACCCCCTAGGGGTAATTTATTATTAACATAATATAATCTCTTTCAGCCCGTTAAGAAGTGGATAACAGTTTCTCAAGACCTCGTCTGCAGGGGCGGCTGTGTGGAGGATGAGCTGTCTTATCAGCTAAGTACTCCTTATATTTAATCTAACCTTAGCTGGTAAACCATTTCTCAGCAGAGCCCGGGGGTAGCAGGTTCATGGATTAGGGCTTCCGTGGTTAGGTTACTTCTTTCTTTTTGTTAAAAAAAAGGGGGGGGGGAGGAGGGGGTACGGGGAGGAATAGTTCCTAGGAGGAATGAAAGGACTGGAAATCACCCTCCACGCCCAAGAGGACCTCAATACAGCAAGTAGTGCAGATGCAGCATGGAAGCCGTGCCATACCCTACCCTTCATGCCAGTAAACCAGCAATCCAGGATAGCAACCTCACATCTGCCGAGCTACCTTGGTGGACAAAAGAGAGGGCAGCCGGATATCTGCCACAAAGCATACCTCCTTTGGCCACCACCCCCGGAATCCAAAAGGCAGCCTCCAGAGATACACCCATCGCCTGAAAGACACCCAAAGCCACCCCCCCGGAAGACCGGAGGGAACGGGATATCCCCAGGTGATCCAGATTCCATGGCAAGCTACACCACTGCCAAAAACCTCAATGGAATGGGATTGACCCCGGTACCCTTTTCCCTACCTAGGAACCAGTAGGCCTGTGGGAAGGATCCCAAAGGCCAAAAAGAGGAAGGGAATAAGGGAGGGACGGGGGGGAGGATGGGATAGGGAAGGGGGGATTGGGGGGTAATTAGGTTCGGTCTGAGGAAGGAGACCAACATGTCTAATTCCTCAGACCAAGAGCCTCTTCACCATGCCAAGGAGCCCCCCTTAAAGAGAACTAATGAACAGAGGATGTGTTATTTTAGTGCCAATAATGTCTAAATTGTTTATTCTGGATCCTATTTTGAAATCGGCATCTTTTTTAATTTGAGTGAAATTGGCCAAATTGCCAATTTCTGACCACTTTATTGGGTAGTTCAAATCGGTAAATGGGCAGTTTCTTGTGCTCAACTGATAGAAAAAATGAAGTTCTAAAGAAATAGCTATGAGTTTGACCAACTGGAACAACGGAATTGGCCAAAAACAGGGCTCAAAGTCAGCGAAATTGCCAATGCGTATATGTCGCCGAGACCGCTAACTTCGCAGGAGCATAATTCCGAGAGTTTTCGACCAAATTTCGTACTTTTGGTGTCAATACGATCGGGAAAAGATTCTCTATTATTCCATAAGAAAAAATAATTTTTTTTTCCAAAACTTTTGCAACATAGAATGACAGTATCAGAAAGGGGCTTGTGACAGTTGAAGGGTTAAATGTAGAAAGCAAAGAAAGCAACACTTTTACTACACTACAAGCCCTCATAGTTATCAACTTGTGATATCCTTCAAAACAGTACACCCTGTAAGGTGATAAAACACACCAGTATATATATTTCAATTTTATTTACATAAAAAATTACACTGTTTTGAAAGATACACAGGTTAAGTAGTCATCCCAAGACATATGACAGTTTAATATACAAGACTAACAGCTCTTACATACTCTACAATAAACCATAGTATTCACAAAATATCTGCATGCTAACACTTTTAAACCAACAAAGTTGTGTAATAAAAATAAAGATTTTTTTAAAGGAAAAAAAAAAATACTTATGTACTACCTCATCAAAAGATTTTGCAAATACATTTCTAATTATAGCACAGCTATTTTGTTATTAATATGTAATTATTATTCCTTACATACACCTCAGTTTTGCTAAGAGCATCACAAGTGTTAAGAATAAAAAATTTTTGCTGTAGTTTCAATGCTAATTACAAAATGTGTGAAGTACTGAAACAGTTTCACTTTTATTCAGTCTAATACATGCAATTATAACACTGGAGACTTACTTCTCCATATCTACTGTCTCCAGTGTTACAATCACTTATATTTGACCAAAGAAGCTTACCTAGAAGACTAAACATTTCATCTGGTTGCATTTTCATGAGCTCTAAAACATTATTTGGTATTCATTTCACACATCAATTTGTGGATAAAGGCAAAATTTATCCCAAGTTTATCAAATAACTGTAGTAAAAACATCAGTATATATCACCACCTTATAGCAATGCATGATATATTTACTGAAGAAATTCCTTATACCAGTTTGGTTAACTTGGGTTAACAAACCAGTGAAGACTTTACTGTAATATGCTTAGACTGAAGAAATTAAGTGCAAAAAAAAAATGTAGTTCTGCCTCAGTAAAAAAAAAGTGAAACCAAGCCTTCAATACATTATGAATGTAAATTTATGATTGTTGCTAAACTTTCAACTGCTTTCATGCATGGCATTTTTATATTACAGGAAAATAGAGTTACATCAGTAATTACTTTGCTAACTTTTTTGTATGTCCTTCCTTTCTCTTATTTGTGGCTTTCTAATTTACTGCAAATTTCTCTACAAAGTAAGATTCCCAAATAAAATAATTATTTAGTTAACACACTTGCACAAGCCTGATGGATGCTCAAGCCACCAAAACTCAAAGCTTTATTAAAAAAAAAAAAAAAAAAAAATTAAAAAAAAAAATGAACTATAAAAATACAGTAGGTATTTATGCTACACATTTACCGAGACAGTCTCTAAATTTTCCTATAGCTTTTTGACTGAAAAATCGTTCAGGTTTCCTGCAAACAATAGCCAAACCATAAACAATTCCTCGGCAAATTTTCAAAGTACAGTGGACCCCCGGTTAACGATATTTTTTCATTCCAGAAGTATGTTCAGGTGCCAGTACTGACCGAATTTGTTCCCATAAGGAATATTGTGAAGTAGATTAGTCCATTTCGGACCCCCAAACATACACATACAAACGCACTTACATAAATACACTTACATAATTGGTCGCATTGGGAGGTGATCGTTAAGCAGGGGTCCACTGTACTTCCTTGTATAATAAAGTGACTGATACGTCTGGGGCAAGAGCCCCAATAAAACCAAACAATCAAGGAATTACCCTTCATAAAAATTTAGTGCTCCTGAGAATTCAGCAACCCTCTTATTATTCAGCTTAAATTTTAATGCTACACAACTCTTGCCTTTCATCCATTAACAATTATTGTGTCAGCCTAGGCCAAATAAAAAACATGGCATATATTGATGGTATTTTTTTTTTAGCCATAATTATCTTCAGGTAACAACACTGTATTCTATTGTCCATAATAAATAATTCTTGAAGATGAACACTGCACAACTAGCCTACATATTAGAGAAGAAACTTTAGATGATGCCAGTTAGTGTCTGCAAATTCTGGATTTGTAAACTGTTTCAACCATGGTATTGACTCATGCTGGCAATATATATATGAAACTCATTTCATTATATACAGGAGCACTTCACATGTTTATTTATAGTCCTATCAGGATGTCCTGCATTTTCAATCTTTCATGTCTTTTAGTCTTAAATAGAAATAACCTGACCTGGTAGTCCAAAGCTTCATCATAAATTTCTTTCTCCTATGAGTAGGTTATTTGTGTATTCCAGTTGTGGTACTGTGCATTTTTATTCTTCTTGGTTTCAAATGCTTCCATATGTAGTGAAGCACTTGGGTTGCTCTTATGTGCTAGAGTACTACTACTACAGTGGACCCTCGCTTTACGATCAGCTCCCAATGCGACCAATTATGTGAGTGTATTTATGTAAGTGCATTTGTACATGTATGTTTGGGGGTCTGATATGGACTAACCTAATTCACAATATTCCTTATGGGAACAAATTCGTTCAGTAATGGCACCTGAACATACTTCTGGAATGAAATAATATCGTAAGCCGGGGGTCCACTGTATACCTAATTTTAGATTTGGCCACAAACAGAAAGTTATTTAGTGAAATGGGATAAAGAAAAATTATAGTATAAACAATAATTTACTTTTAAATATGAAGAGCCTTATCACAGGGAAAACAAACGAGTAAAACCAAGTGTGAAACACACAAGAACATCACCATTTTAGCTGTAGGATTACCTCAATTATAGGGTTTACAAGACCTACTGTGAAAAATAAGCAAATTAAAAAACCAGTCTTCAATAAAAATCAAATTCTTCATTTGTGGTAATGGTACACAAAAATAAATTAATTTAAATACGTGAAAATAACGCTACACCTTGTTAGAGATTCTTAAGACTAACAATTTAACTTTTTTTTTTTTTAAAAGCTATACCTCAAAAATTGAAGTTGTGTGAATGTGCAGTCATTACACAAAACTTCTTTTATAAGCCCAATACAGTGGAACCTCAAATATCGAACTTTCTTAGTTCCAGACGGGTGTTCGAGTGCCGTTACTGAATGAATTTATTCCCATCAAGAATAATGTAAATTAGATTAGTTCATTTTAGACCCTCAAAAATACACTTATAAAAGCACTTACAAAAATATACTTACATAATTGGTTGAGCTGGGAGCAGTTCGATATTTGAGGTTCCACTGTATTAATATCTGAAAACTGCTACAATTTCTAGCTACATAAAAAAATCTCGAAAACCTTTGAAGAAAAGCACATTCTTCTAAGTTATTTTTTTTTAAATTGGGAAGTTCTTAAATCTGTAACTTATAATGAACATAGTATATATTCGTAAAAACAAAGCTATTAAATAGAATAGGATAATTAACATACTTTGGAAAATCCTGAGCTTCAGTTTTTTTTTAATATATGATTAACTTTAACCATATTTTACCTTCAATTGTTCTAGCTTCTTGGCTGCAAGATGTTTTCTCCAGGCCATTTGTATAATTCTAGCCGCCTTCATTTCTTCACCGAGATCTAAAAGTCGAGCACATAAATATGCCAAGAAAGTTGCTGTTACTTTTTCATCAGGAATTGTGTTGCACATGTCACTGCTTCGGATCAGCACCGGGATTCCATCAAGTTGTGATACCTTTATAGCAAAGAAATATGTTACTGATAACAAACTTTATGACTGATAATATTTTCACTTTAAATATTCTAATGAAATTACAAACAGGCCTAATAAAATTTAATGTATTACAAACTTGCATAATGTAGTACTCTGTATACATTCTTGAAAACCACAATCAACACACCGACCATATCCACCAAGGCAGGGTGGCCCAAAATGAAAAACTTTTTAAATTTAGTGCAGCCTCTCCTCACTCGGTGATCTACTCATTTACCAACGACTCAGACTTATGATGGGCTCTCTGACCAGTATACATACCTAAATAATGTAAGAGCTGATTTCCTTTATTCTGTTTATTACAATATACAGTACACTACTATACAAACACTTAAAAATATACTAAAATTTTTTATAAATGGTGCAAAGGTGATGGTAAAACAATATCAAAGATGGACGACGAACCCATTACCATTATAGTATGCTCCTTGCTTAACGACAAATTCGTTTACCGACGTGGTCTTAAGAACGGAACTTCGTCGTTAAGCGAGGAGGGGCTGTAATATATACAGGAGAAGGGTTTACTAGCCCCCTGCTCCCAGCATTTTAGTTGCCTCTTACAACACACATGGCTTATGGAGGAAGACTTCTGTTCCACTTCCCCATGGAGGAAAACCACAATTTTGTATGAAATAAATAACCTATGAGAAGAGGGTGTGTGTTTAATACATTCCCTTACTTCCTTATGATAAATTATCATGGAAATTACAATGTATTAGCTGTCATGACAACTGATGAAGCCCTTTATGACCACTAAGACTGCAGAGCACTGTAGTAGGCCTACTGCCCCATCTGAGACTTCTCACACCCAACCCTTCTCACTCCACTGAATACTTCTACTCCCTCACCACAAATTCCCTCTATTCTTTCTAAATCTGGGTTTGTCTAACATGAATCCATTGCTCAGAATTCTTTCTTGGTTAGGAATCCTTATCGCTCGATTTATACCTTTTTCTGTGATTCTCTTCTTATTTATATCTCCTTTCAGACAATAAAAAGGAACAATACTACGACTGAAACACTATATAGTGGAACCTTGGTTTTTGTAGGATTCGGTTCTTGACTTTTTTCGTCAAAATTTTGTCCCAGTTTTTGTATATCTGCTTGGCTGTCAGAGTTGACAATAGTCTGCTGTACCAAACACGTCTGCCTGCCCGCACCCACACAAAGGATCCCACGTGTTCTGACTCAGTCTGGCTTTGTTCTAGCTGAGTGAGCATTGTGAGAATGTGCCTTCTTCAGTGATTAAGGACATGTGTGCAAAGTGGAATGAGTTGGAGTTTTGTGGAGAAATATCACCCAAACAAATCTGTTGCAAGCCATGTCTTAACATGTTCAATGAATGCCTTGTCCCATTTTAGGCAAATCTTAGAGATGTCAGAAACAGACCTATCTGGACTGATTTTTTGTGTGACAGGGGTCCAGTGACTCGAGCTGGTCCTAGTGCCAGTAAAAGACAAAGAAGGGAAGAAACCCCAGATAGGGCCTTGATACCTGAAGGCCTTAAGGAGGGGGATTCCCCTTCCAAACAATAACCTTTCCTCCTCCCTCTCCCCTCCATCTTCCATATGCCAACAAGTGTCTTCAACAGAGGTAAAAGATGCTAAATATTCATTGATCCATTTCATATCATTTATATTTATTTCTCATTGTTTTCTGTATGTAAAACTATAGCTATTCTCTATAAAGTATTTTTTTAAATATTTTTGGGTGTCTGGAATGGATTAATTGGATTTACATTATTTCTTACGCAAAATATTGCTTCAGTTTTCATTAAACTTTCTGGAACGAATTAATTACAAAATCCGAGGTTCCTCTGTACAGAGAAACTGCATATAGGAGAATGAGACTTGTGCCATTTTGGTCTAACTTGGACCAATGCTAGTCACACGTCTAGTTAATGGTCCAAATTGGACTGAAACATTGTCAAAAGGTTCATTCTCCCTATGTGCGGGTTATTTGTGTATACATTTTCTTTCCCTTATTCACATCTGTCGTCCACTTGTACACCTCAATCATTTCTATTTTGTCCATATCTGAGAGTATAGGTTCAAGGCTCTTTCTTAATAGGAAAGATTTCTTATATAGTGGACTAACCGATGTCATCCTCCTGTGTTCTCCAACACACATGTATCCATTCTGTAGACCAAAACTGCAATGCATAATGAGGCCTTACCAAAGATGTAGAGTTGTAGTACAACCTTGAGGCATCTGTTACTTTTACTTCTTGATATAAATTTAAGGAGTCTATTGTATTTTGTAGATACCAAGACACTGCTGTCTTGGCTTTAGATTCTGGCAGAATCAGCTTTATTCAATATCAGGTCTTACATAAAAATCTTTAACAAGTCTTTATGGGTTTCTGAATGTTGTACTGACCAGCTAATTATTATTATTGTATGGCCAATGCGAAGATGGGAGGGAGTAGTCTCCCAACCTCGACACTGGTGACAAGAAGACGGCCAGTAACCTATACTCGGTTTAATAGATTGAAGTTTGTTACCGAGCAGAGTAGACCAACGTTGTTCCCAACGGGTGTGAAGGTGGGTAGCTATTGCAGCAAAATAGTCCGTAAATGGAACACCTCTATATGAAACTGGTAGAGGTCATGTACTGCTGACCGCGCAGCAGTGTCTGCCTGTTCATTGCCCTGTACGTCAACATGACCAGGGACCCAACAAAAAACAATATCTTTATGCCTGGAAGAGATGCAGCGTAGCCAAAGTTGGATACGGAGGACTAAGGGGTGAGGTGTATCAAATTTCTGTCTAGCCTGTAAAGCACTAAGGGAGTCTGAAACAACCACAAATGATGGCACTGGCATAGATGCAATATGGATAAGTGCTGCAAGAATGGCATACAATTCAGCAGTAAAGATACTAGCCAAAGATAGTAAATGCCCTCGTACGATGCTGTCCGGAAACACTGCTGCGAATCCTACGCCATCAGAAGACTTAGAGCCATCTGTGTACACTGCAATGGCATGAGAATGAGAGTGGAAGTGGCAAAAAAAAAAAAAAAAAAAAAAAAAGTGGGAAGCTACCGTAGACAGTTGGGCTTTCGAGCAAGGGAGTGAGAATGAACAGACTCGAACAGCTGGAAAGGTGGTAATTGAAGAGAAGACAAGAGCGAATGTAGGCGAAGGGAGAAGGGTGGCAAACAAATAAAGAATGTCTACTAATATCGGTGACCATTCTATAAATGGAAGGATTGCGGAGATCATGAGAGCGTACATAGTAGCGAAGGCAATAGGCATCACGGCGATCGGATCAGGATGGAATGTTCGCTTCTGCATAGAGGCTCTCAACAGGGGAAGAGCGAAAAGCACCAAGGCATAAATGTAATCCTTGGTGATGAATGGGGTTAAGGCTAGAGAGAGTAGCAGGAGAAGCTGCTGAATAGATTTGGTCACCATAATCAAGTTTCGATAAAATGAGGGCGGAATGTAGGGGAAGGAGAGTTCGACGATCAGCTCCCCATGAAAGATGAGCAAGGGTTTTAAGAAGGTTCAGCCGGCTGTGACAAGTTGCCTTCAGAGAGGTAATGTGAGGTTTCCAGGATAACCTACAGTCAAAGAGGAGGCCTAGAAACCTGACTATCACGTTCAGGGATACGGGAGCCATAGAGGTACAAAGGATGATTGGAGATGACAGAGCGTCTAGTGAAAGTAATTTGGTGAGTTTTGGTACTGGAAAATTTAAACCCATGTGTGGTGGCCCAATTGGAAACACAATCGACCGCATGTTGGAGAGAAACTGTAACAAGGTGACAGTCCGCGCCTGCACATGCAATAGCGAAGTCATCAACATAGAGTGATGACCAAATATTGGATGGAAGACTAGAGGCCAAATCATTTATAGCAAGGAGAAAAAGTGTTGTGCTCAGAACACATCCCTGGGGGACACCTTCAGCTTGGATAAAGTCCGGTGAGAGCACATTATTAACCCGAACACGGAAATGTCTGTCAGTTAAAAAGTTCTTAAGGAAGGATGGTAGATTGCCTCAGAGGCGTAAGGAGTGGGCTTGGGCCAAAATATTATACCTCCAAGTTGTGTCATATGCCTTCTCAAGGTCAAAAAATATGGCAATAACTGAGTGGTTATTCGCAAAGACATTACGAACATACGTATCCAAGCATAGTATGGGGTCTATGGTAGAACGGCCCTTACGAAAGCCATATTGACGAGTGGAGAGACTGTCGTGTGTCTCTAAATACCACACTAAACGTCTATTTACCAGGCGTTCCATCACTTTGCAAACTGCACTGGTAAGAGCAATGGGACGATAGTGGGAGGCTTCATGTCCCGTAGTACCCAGCTTGCGGAAAGGGAGAACAATGGCATATTTCCAGAGCTGTGGAAGAACTCCCTGTGACCAAATAAGATTGAAAAGGCGTAATAGGACTGCAAGGGCTGACTGATGTAAATGTTGTAGCATACGAATATGAATGTCGTTGGGCCCAGCTGCCGATGATCGGCAAGCTGAGAGCGTTGCCTCCAGTTCCTGAAGTGTAAAAGGCACATTATACTGTTCTTCTCTGAGAGAAGAAAAGTCCAAGGGTGCTAACTCTCTGGCAGACCTTGAGGAAAGAAACGAGGGGCATAGAGCCCGAGAAATACGGACCAGATGATTGCCAATTTCATTGGCAACATCCAGTGGGTTTGCTATATCAACACCGGCAACCCGCAGAACAGGAGCTGGGTCAGGAGAATATTTACCACTCAGTTTTCGTACTTTTTTCCAGACTGCACTCAGAGGAAGCAGAGGTGATGGTGGAGACAATTTTGCCAGCAAGTGCGTTTATTGTCACGGATGACACGGTGAGCGACCGCATGCTTCTGCTTAAAATCAAGAAGTCTCTCCGTGGTTCTATTGTACTGGTACCTGCCCCACGCAGCGCGTTTCAAACGTACTGCACGAGTACAAGCAGGAGACCACCAAGGCACGCATTTCTGAGAATG